GGGGCCCGAAGGCCGAGATGGATCCCCCGCGGCCGCCATTTCCAGCCATCGCCGTTCGTCGCGCTCCCGCGCCGCGGGGGAGGTCAAAGCGGGGAATATTTTATTCCCCCGCGGCCTCGATGGATGTCCTGCCGAGGTGGGGGATGCGGCCTCGAGATCCCCCCGCCAGGCTCGCGGGGTCGGATGAAAAGCCCGCGGAAGTGCCCAGAGAGGGTTTCCCGTGCGGAAAAGGTTGTTGGGATGGTCTGAACGTATTTTCTCATCTCTATTTTCTACTCGGGCTTTTTTTGAATGGGGAGGGGGGTTCGCCCCTTCCGAGGAAGCGTCCTCGACCTCGCCGGATTCGTTGGGGGCGTTTTGCGATGGGGAAAAATAGTCCTGGCGTAAAATCCGCCGTAGGCCGCGTTGGTAGGTTTTGATGTCATTGGCAGGCTGCCCGGTTGCGATACTTTTCAGCCGCAGCAGAGGAGTTCGACGGGGGGTGGGAGTGGGAAATGGTGTGAAAATCGCCCTCGAACAATTCCCATTGGAGAATTTGATGTTTTTTGTTGGAGCCCCCTCCCCTCCTCCCCTCCCGCCGTGCGGGGTGGTTAATAATAATCGAATCGCCGGGAGCGGGCAGCGCGGCAGTTGTCGAGCGGCCCCGTCAGCGTCGTTTTGTTTTATTCGGTCATTTTGTAAAAGCCTCGCGGTGGTCCCCGATTCCCTCCCGGCTTCTGAAATGCGATGGAGTACATACCGAAAACGCAGTGCATGCGAAGCCGTAGTACCCAATGAGGGGCTCTCGTGATTGTTGTTTTCGATTTCCGCGTGAGGGCCCTCGATCGCCTTTTCCTCCCGTCCACGCGCGAGGGAGAGGTCATCGTGGATCGCGTTTTGCAAATTGGCATCCTGGTCGATATGCGAACCGTCGCCTTGAAGATATTTCCCCTCGTTTTTTTCTACCACATCGCCGGAGAGACATCGCTCCACGGCTTTTTGGTAAAGCCCCGCAAAGTCGTCCGATTTTTCCGAGCCCAAACCGCCCTGTCCATGTTGAGAAGGACAATGCATAAATAAATGGTGCATGTCGCGTTCGATCACTTCCGCATTTGTCAACACCACAAGAGGGAGCAGAAAGGTTTGCCCGTCTTCGGGCCTCTCAAAACTTCGTTCGAGGACTTTGTAGGCCGGATGGGAGCAGTCGACAGAATAAAAAATATCCGTCGCGGACGAATCGCGTTGGGGAGTCACGATAAGGGGACGGGGTAGCGCGCCTGCCGCCTTCGGCCCCGAGGAAAGGGCGAAAAAGCCGTTTTTTCGTTTGGATTGTTTGGCATATTCGAGAAAGAGCACACACAACCCCCCCTGCGAGACGTCCGCCACGTTGATTACGCGCAAAACGCCCTCAGTGGGGTCCTGCCCCACGCACGGCGTCGTGGTCGTCCCTTTCGGCCTATCGCCCCTTTCGGGATCCGAGCGGGCGCGTTTAGGATAATTGGCCTCCTCGGCTGTTTTATGGGGGATGGAATCCCCGCCGACCGCCCCGATCTGCCTTTTCGCAGGGGCTCCGCCATTCAAAGGAATCCGCAGCCTCAGGGAGGGGTAAAAGGCCCGCCAAAGGCGAACCGCCAGGCGGAGAAGGCCATTTTGTACCCTTCGCGCGTCGTCGTCGGGGTTCCAACGCGAGTTCACCACCACCACCACCGGGGGGGATGAAAGGGAGGTTGAGAAGTGGTTTACATTGTCCGGTTGATGGGCGTTTGTCGTGGGATAATCACGGGTAAACCCCGCATTGCGGCGCCTCCGGAAAAATGTTTGCCCGCCGGGGGGTGATTTGTGGATGGGCCAATATCCCGCATCGAGAACGGGCGCACGATTGCCCCGCGTGATATCAAATTCGCCCAATGGGCCTGGATTTTTCGTTCTTTGTCCACTTTCGTCCGGTTTTCTCCCCGTCGGACGGGGGGGGCAGTAGGTTGGATAAAAATGAAATCCAACTGTCGAAGCCGCGTTTTCGGTCGATTGAGGAGGTTTGACGCGTAATTGACGAGGATTCGATAGATTATTCATTCGCCCTTCCACCTCCGCACCACCTTTTTCCCAATCCCGACGTAGTAAAACGCTATAATATTGACAAAAAGGGGAAAGGAGGGTTTCGACCGCCATGCGATAGGCAACTTCCCACACTTTATGCTCCTCGCGTAGGCGTATGATGGTAAAGGCATCTTCCGTTGTATTTGATCGCACTGGATTGATATTATTAGAGGTGGTACAATGTTCTCCCGGGTATCGACTTCGCGATGAAAATTCTGATAATTTTGGTAGATGTGAGAAATCCCGGACGTACGGCGCGCGGCGGACGGGAATATTGTAGAAAACATCGGTGATATAGCAATCGATCTCAACCTGACCTTGGAAGCTGCGGTTCGTCTCGTCGTTCGGCCGCAAATCCAGAAGAATCCGCGCGAGGTGTGAAGGGCTGCACAGAAGCGCGCTGTGGAGGAGCGAAGGATGGTGTTTTGTTTTGGCGGGGTCGTCTTTTTCGAAAGACCCGCTTTCAGCTGTTTCTACCCCATCCAAAGAGGTCAATTCTCCATTAATCCATCTTAAATCCAACAACAAAACAGGGGGTGGGCCATTAAGAGTGGAGGATGAAATAGGGCGGTCTGGCGTAAGGCGCTTTTCCCCGACTGTGGTCCGTCCGTTTAGCCCCACTCGCACCCCAACCCGACGACTCACCGCTGCTAGAGTATCTAAATATTCCAAATCTAGCGTCGTTTCCGCCTTTTTTTTCATTTCCGCTTCGTTTTTTTTAATCGCTTCCGCACTGTTGCCGTCCGGGTGAATCGCAGGCCCCTTCTGTGAATGATCGCGCGATGGGATTGAAAGGAGGTCGCGAGTTGGATTGGGCAAAAACGAGATAGCAAAGGTGCACCGCACACAGGCCTCATGTTGAGTGAGATTGGTGAAAAGGGCGTGCGATGCATTCCCGGAAAGGAATGGCGGAGTTGGTTGATGAGTATTCCGCCTTTCGGAAGCCTCCTGAGGCGGATTTAAGACTGAAAGTCTCTGAATGAGAAAGGCCTTTACGACCTTTGCTTCTTCCGTGAGCTGATGGAGAACGGCCGAAAAGGTCGGAAACAGGTACTCAGCGCGTATGCGCCGAGCCTCCATATCTGAAAGTTCTGTAATCTTTTTATTGGATAAATTCATCTTGGCTTCGAGAGATTTGTTAATCCTTTCCTGAGGTTCGTTAAGAAGTTGGGTGATAAAATCAATAGAAATATTTACATTTGCGTATGAATTAGGAATACCTACTTCACTTCTCTGTTTTGAAAAAAATCAATCAATCAATTTATTGATATCGTAGTTTCTTCATCATATTCACACATTTAT